GGGTTGCTAACCGCAGTTAGTATTTTTAAAATGGATTCTGTCGTGTTTCATTATATAATTAATAATGACTCATTTAATAGCACAAGCCCTACAGGATACCTACATTTAATTATATCTGTCACATAAATTACTCACGCTATATAGCGCTATATACCGGTATAGTGTATCTATATATGTATGTAATAATAATTTTAATGTGTACTAAGTACGAATACTACATACTTTTTATATGTAGAGTTCGTATAAGTCAACAGATCAATAAGGTTTTTATTAGACCTATCTTAAAAGGCACGAACAAGAATTCGAAACTTCTTTTCCAATTTTCTCCCAATGGCCATTAGGATGAAAAATGTAAAGTAGATTTCCCGATGCATTCGAGATATGTGTTGGAAAGAATGAAATTTCAAACTAAACCGGCGGCACCGGGACTGTATCTTCCCTGCCGACTACTGAGAAACGATTTCAAGACATACTACTATGTCCCTCAGTCGTATATTTTTGTAATATGTTAAAAGGGAAAAGCACCTTCAAATAATAATAAGTTAAACTATAATGTCAAAATAAATTATCGTCTATGTCATGTTAATATCATATTTAGGTAAACCCTGAATAATATTATGAAAACATCGATGTAAGTTATGTCCACTGCAAACAAAGCCTCTGAGAAATATCGCAAGTTAACATGGTGTCAACAGGTTACTTGAGTCGAGTTGACAGTCTGTAATTTGGCGCAGGCGGAGTAAGTTGCGGTCCGAACCCCTCGCTTATTTGCAAGCCCACAACTAACTTTAAATTGCTTGGACTAATGTATAACGTGCTTGACATTACAGTTCTTAGTTTGTGACCGTCCCGAACGATTTTCTAATGAAACTGAATCCGCCAAGTACATTAAATTGTAATTAATATAGGATAAAGGCTATGCATCTCGTATATATCATCGCGAACAACGCCCACGTGGAATAATTCCGTTGAACAAATGAAATTTATGTGACATAACTTATCATTTTCATGAAAATATTTCGTATCATAATTATAATTCATTTACAGTAAAATTCATATAGGACTAGCGATAAGCTCTAGTGCTCAGTCTCAACTCTATACCTCGCGTCCTTTGGTCACATTTTATATATCGTAGACTCTAATGGGATACTTGTTTCTTAAAAATTGCATGTAACACGTAAATGAAAAATTTATATCGCTATCTTTCTATGAGTAAAAAGAGCAAACAAACAAAGCGTTAAGCTTTCCTCCGTGTTATATATTAATAAGAATTTAGAACCTAGATTGATTTAAAAATATGATAAACCGGAAAAAATATTTGTCCTCACTTAATATTAATGAGATAAGCTCAGTTCAAGTATCTAGAAGCAATTTTATGCATATCTTCTCAAGGCTGCGCAGCTAATAGTCAAAAGAGTATAAAGTCGTTTTAAAAGTTCATAAATTTAAATTTGCGCAGTGGCTCACGGAGCGCCTTATAATTTGCTCTGCATATCAGAAAGAACCGCACCACTCTCCGTTTGTTCAAAGCTACTGAGTTTTCACCGTTATTTCTTTGGCTGAAAAGTCCCCTCGCAAGTTTAGTTAGGAATTCAGTACATCTTGGTAGTTTTGTACCGCACTATATATTCTGTGAAATATTAAAGTAGGAACAGGGTTCATATTATTATATAAAATCTTTATTCTTCGACAGACAGACAAAAATTCAAAAATCTATAGATTCGGCCTCTGTATCGATAATAATGTCTATTTCAATAAGATTTTAGAAAAAAATATTTAATGTACAGATTCGGCTTAGTTACAATTTTATGATATGTAGCTATAGATTTTGACATGACATTTTATGGAGCAACAAAGTAGAGTTCGAAATTTATAGATACCTTAGTCATTGTGAGAAGACTAATGTTGTTGTTATTGTTAAAGTTCGCCATGTTGTAAACAAAATATGGTAAAGTGTCTGTATTGTATCACGAATGTCTCCGGCGTAATATTGGGAAAAACTTGTGGGCGACGGATAGTTGTGGGGGTCAAGTTAATGATATCGCCGCCATTTGCGGACGAGTCTCCGTTCCGAATTGCGCCCGGCCACGTTAATGGGCCCGGCTATAGCGCTCTGAATATTTTAAAGGACATTCGGTGAAATTACTACAAAAATAATGTCGCTTTGCTTGTACCGAATTACCCGAGAAACGGTTTAGAGACCGGTAATAAATATTCGCGGAATCCTCTTCCCGTTGCCTCTTTGAAGATTACTTTTTCGGTTAAAATCCACTTGTAAGTTAAAATTTACGTTAGGTATATTCGATAGTACACGACCGAATTGAAACTACGATATCACGAGATCGAAATGTAATGTAAATTCTTTAGAAGAGGATTACCTAGAAAAGCCTGCCTCAAGTGCCACCATAGGTACCTTTCGTCACGAGAGACGTTAATAATAAATGAGAATCGGTGATAGAAGAGCACGCAAGCGTCAGCTACAGGAATATTGCCTCGCCTCGCCCGCACTGCCGCCGCGTGCAGACAGCGCGCTACGTGCGCCGCATAATGCACCGCTCCGTGCAAAATTCACAGCTACCCTCTAGTAAAATTTACTAGCTTACATCTCATTTAATGCTACTCCTGCAAACGCTTTAACATATTTTAATATACTTACAAAGCATGTAAAACACATTTTATTTCAACTGTATTTAGAACTCTTATTAAAAACAAAATACTTCTAAATCCCATTAAAAGGGGCGCCATTCTAGTTAATTAGACATAATGAGAGTTGGCTGCAATCTTTTAAAGATTGCATTATGCAAGGTGCCAAAGTTTTAGCGTCGCGCCGCGCGCCGTAAGCTTGGGACAAAACTTAGAGATGCACAAAACAAATTCTTAACAAAGTGCTTAAAAATAAACAACTTCTAGAAAATGTAGGGATTTAAGTGGCAAATCTATACGAAATGAATAACTTATATTTTATCTTTATATCAATTATTAATCTCTACATATAAATGATTTTTTTGTTTCTGCTTAGATTAAATTTAATTAAATATTGCAATTATATTAAAAGGAGGTCATAGTTTGCGGTAGAAGATCAAAGATTTTACATATTTCGAGTAAAACCACGTGTATTGATTATCACTATATTTGTCTAACATACAGAAATAAAAACAATAAAAATTAAAACTATCTTTTCGGATTTTTTCGTGGATTTATATTGTTTTTTTTTTGTATTTTTATTTTTGGTTGACGACGTTTCGAATGCTTTACAGCAATCGTGGTCACGGGAGAGACTAAGATAGTTTTATTTAAAATGTGAAATATTCGCGTAAATCTAAGAAAGTATTGAATTAGTAAAAGTTCGCCTCTAAAGAAAAACGAGGACGAATTGACTTTGACGATCGGTTTACCTCTTGTTTTTAAAGGGGGCAGATTTCCATCTAATAGTACCAATATTCCGATCCAAAAATAATAAAAATTTTTGAAAGAAAGAGTAATTTATATTGATCATGTATAATATTATTTCCATATGTAATACTAGCGTCTCACCCTCGCGTCGCTCGGGTTCGCCCCTAGCTTGATTCTCCATACAAACTTTTGTCCCCATTTTCACCCCCTTAAGGAATGATTTCCGAGATAAAAAAGTCCTAGGATCCTATGTCCCTCCCAGGGTCTCAAACAATCTTCTTACCAAATTTCATCTAAATCGGTTCAATAGCTCCAGAATACCTGCTACAACGACACAAACTCCCAAACTTTACCTCTTTATAATATTATTATTGATTTATATTAAAGATCTTTTCATTAGTATATAGGTACCTACTTAAATATCTAAAGACACATATAGAAATTGTTTGATGTAATGTAATAAGTTTTTAATAAATTAATAAAATTTAGAAAATCAATAACGAAAACTGTATATCATAATATAAATTTACGTGCTCATATTAGTTTCCCTAAAACCCAGTTTTATAGTCATTAATTTTGTGTACAACGCAAGGTAGGCTGTGTCTGAAGCTTGGCTTCTTATTAACATTCATAAATATCAGTTCCCCTCCTCGCCAATTTAGTACTGGCGCAAGACGACGCTCAAACAAATCAACTTACCCCGTATAAATATTATATACCGATTTAGTTCTTGCTTGTAGTATTACTAACTAGTTATTATTAAGCTTTACTTTTAATGATAGAATAAGCGTATAATTAATTTAAATTTCTTTCTATTTTTATTTAATTAAAAAAAGGTATGTTTATGCGATTATAAAACCATAATAATTGTTAATTCCTTTATTTTATATTTTCTGAAAATCTTACTTATTAAATACAATTTTCCAGAAAAAAAATGTAAAGAAAAAAAATTATAATAATATTATAACCGAACCCATAATGAAAGAAAATATGCACAGGCGAGTAAATGTATTATTTGCTCGAAACATCGCACTGAGAGTGAAACAAAGTTTCAATAGTATTTTACTAGATTTTATTATCTGGAACGGGTAATTTTCCCTGTACAAATACGCGGCTCTGTTCATTCGAGAGCCCCAGTGAGCGCTAAATTTGAATTCATGTTACGAACGGGCTACATAAACCAATTACGAAGCACAGCCAATAGCGGGCGGGGGCACAAGGAGAATCGATAATTCACAATATGCCCGCTAGAGTGCAATACCATCGCCGCCGGTGCGCGCCCACACTACTCCTCCACGTTGCGCATCCACGCATTCAACTTTGTACGAACGTCGAAAAAACATTCATATCTTTTTATTATAAATTACATATGACACAACCATTGCTAATAAATTAAGTCATTGATATACAATTATTTTAATATTTTTTTTATTTATTTACGTTACAGTTATTATAATGGATTGTTTGAAACTATATTTAATCTATGACAAATACAAAATTTGTATTAAAAATAATTGTATATATATTTTTTTATTAAAATTTTCTTACTTTGAGATATAAAATTTGGTAAGTGTTTAACAATGCAAAATTAAATAAATTGACCTTTACACGCCTCTACAAGGCCACACCGGGCATGCGCTCATAGTCAGCTGCTGCTTAGCTTGCTGTTTCGTATCGCGCTTCTTGCCCGCTTTGAATGTTTTCTGTTTTATTTTGTTATTTCTGTGATGTAAACCAATTTTTTAACTAAAATTTATATATTTCGTTTATGTGAAAGATATTGTGCCGTATAATAGTGGTGCTAGCACTCACACATCAGATAAAACAAGGTAAACGCCTTAATATTTTTGTTTGTCGTGAACATAACCTATTTCGTACTAAATTTTACAGTGTTCATTTTGATTGTTTACATTATATTGAAAATATTATAGTTTAAGTTATTATACTTAATATATTTGAGGGAAAGTTACGTTTGAAATACTAAAGAAATATTGTTTAACTTGTGCAATTTGATTACAAGGAAGTAGTGGCATTGTGACAGATAAGGCAATATATTTTAATATTTCTAAATTCTTTAGGTTATGACTGTACAACGTGTTGTAGCCTATAAGTGTAAATTCACATAAATTCTCTTGCTATGTAATAATATAATGTGGTTGCAAATGTTGACATAAAGTGAATCACCATGACAATGCCAGCTTGCTAAAACAGTGACGTTGTATGTAAGTCCCATAGGGGGCGCTAGTAAGTATTGAAATGAAATGTTTTTGCGCCAAAGAAATGCAAACTTTTGTACTTACTGCTTTTTATTAATTTTGATCAAACGATAAATACTTAAATAACATTTTCAAAATAAATATTATTTGAAATTAGTGATAAGAATAGAACTCATATTGGTTTTTGGTTTAGTATATTTAATTCAATTGTTTATCTATACATATAATAAAATTGTAACTAAGTCGAACCTGTACATTAAATATTTTTGGAAAATCATATTAAAATAAACATTATTATCGACACAGAGGTCGAATCTATAGTTTTTAGAATTTTTGTCTGTGTCATGTGTGTCTGTCTGTTACCGCATCACAGAAAAACCGCTGGAGGGATTTTGATGAAATTTGGTATGGTGATAGCTGGTGATCCGGGTCAACATATAGGATACTTTTTACCGCGGGAAAATATCTCATTTCTGAGAAAAAATACAAAAACTGCAATGTAAGAGTATACTAATATGTTAAACCTAAGAATTTGTTTCTTGGTCATCTTAACGCGGGCGGAGCCGCGGGCAATGCTAGTTACATAATATAAATAACTGTATGTGATTTCTAAAAATATTTTTAGTATTCAAACTACACTTAATACTTAATATAACGATCTCATTTACTTCATTTATTTTAATTGAATATATTTTCTGCCTATTTACAATTTAGATGAAGCAAATTTCGTTTCCACTCTACTAGTATACAAATTTCTAAAATGCTTTCTGATAGAAACTAAAAAAACCGAGTTCCAGGCACTAAAATGTAAAAAATAACTAAATGAGGGTTTTCATTTAGAAAAGATACCTAATCAAATAGGTATTTTCGAAGTCGGTGCCAGCCGATGCAAAGCAAATTAATATATTTCGATACGTAAAATACCTATTTATCTATTAGATATTCATATCTTAAATTTTTGTCGGCTGGCACCGACTTCGAAAATATCTGATTAGGTATCTATTCTAAATGAAAACCCCCGTTTAGTTATTTTTTACATTTTAGTGCCTGAAAATCTTGTTGTTTTTTAATTTTTTATTTTCCATTTTAGTGTAGTTGTAATAAGCACGAAATTTGTAACAATAAAATTTTTTAATAACAAATTCGATTAAACAATTTATTTAAAAAAATATATTTATTGTTGATTTTTTTTTAAACTGCTCGACCGATTTCAATAAAATTTATATGGGACACCTGGGAAGAATACCCTTTGAAACAAAATCCAAATCGGTTCAGGCGTCTTCGAGTAATCGGTGAACATACATAAAAAAAGATTCCGACGAATTGAGAACCTCCTCCTTTTTTGGAGGCCGGTTAAAAAATAGTAAGCAATATAAGTTATCTTTGAGCATTTAATGTCTGATAATGTAAAAAATATCTGATTAGGTATCTATTCTAAATGAAAACCTCCGTTTAGTTATTTTTTACATTTTAGTGCCTGGTAGTCGGTTTTTATTATTTTTTTAAACGGTTTTTATTATTTATATTAAATAGACTACTAGATATACATACATACATATGTAGGTCCCATTAATTTGGACGAGAGTCGTGACTTCATGACTTTCAAACATTAAACATTACACATTAAAATAAATTTTATAGAATTTATAAGCCGTTTGGTTCATTTTAACCATGCAACTGAAATTTCAAATAAAAACAAAGGCTTTTCATTTTCGAACAACATTTTCCAGAACAGAGGTGGTCGGAAAAGTTATTTTACAACACCTGGGCCATAAAATGTGTTTTTGTTTTAACATACTCAGTGAGACAGGCTAGTTTTAAACAAACTTAAAAGAATACTACTTTTTTGTAAATTAAGATAACTTTAACTAATTTTAACAACCGACTTTCAAAAAGGAGGAGGTTCTCAATTCGTCGGAATCTTTTTTTTTTTATAATAACATATTCGACCATAGATAGTTTCCAATCTATCAAATCAAAGTTATCAAATTCTATATGAGATCATCATTACTGTTTGGTACATACTCGTATATTATATTATGCGAAAAAGTCGTCCTTATAAAATATATATATTGATATCATATATTTTACGTATCAGAGTGTGTGTATGTCTGTGTCTGTTTCTTACACCAACAGACTATTCCACCGAACCGATCGCAATGACATTTGGCACAGAGGCCAACTACGATTTAAGGTCGGATCTAGGCTACATTTTATTTCAGAAATAGTTAGGATTCTCACGGACCAGAGATTAAACATTAGAGGTGGTTTTGTCATTGCATAAAAGGAAACTAATAAGTGGATTTTAATGTAAATTAGCATAAATATTTAATAATGGCCAGGTTTTAATATTTAAGGCAACGTAATGAGTATATATATATATATATATATATATATATATATATATATATATATATATATATTTGCATAAATTCTAAGATTAACATGAACAGTGTCTTTAGTATAATCATTTGTCTAATAGTATAATCCGGCAAGAACCCCAATTCATTTTTGTCTTCAATGTACAAAATATCTACTTTTACGAAAGGCAAGAAAACTACAAAAACTAAACTATGTATAAAGTAAGACATAAGAAATATATTTCGAAAACTTTAGAAAGACATTTTAGCGTAGATCGATGTCTTTGTAGGTTACTTAAATACTTATAGGATAAGACTGAATTGCCCGCCGCCTAGACGTACACTCCATAGGCTGTAAACTTTATATAGATACTCGTAGCTTAAGGCATTTGATCTCTGCGATATTGGTATTATTTCTTTAAAAGATTTTTCTTCAAAACGAACAATTTTATTTTACGATAAAACATGTCGAATAAATTTATGGTTTTCTTATTTTTTTTAAGAAAAAAAAAACGCGGTTTAAAAGCTATCGCTATACGAACAATCGCTGCTAATGGTTATTCGAAACGTTAAGTGCACACGAGTGGCTACATAACGTTAGCGTATGTCGACTTTTGTCCGAAATGCCCGTCTCGTCAACCATATTCCGTTTAATGTCGCAATATTGTGAGCGTCGGCGGGCGGCCGCGACCGGTCGCATGCATTTACATACATTAATGTGGACGTCGCACATGCATGCACTCCGCTTTGAATGTGTGTGCGTTGCGAATTAACTGTAATTGAGCTATTCGGACAGCGGCGTGTGACGCTCTGTTGCCTCCATAGTTTGGCTATTTGGCTTCTATCCTTAGTCTAACACTTTTCTATGTGTACGAAGATTAACTCGATAGAATATTTTTATTTTGTTAATTGTGGGTAGGCTGTCTGTAACAACTATACCTTCAAGACATGTAACACCTCAGTCTCTCCCGTGACCATGGATGCTGTAAAGCATTCGAAACGTCGGGAAACAAAAATCAAAATAAATTCGCGAAAAATTTCGAAAAGATAGTTTTATTTAAAAAATCGATAGAATAATTTTGCTTTAGTTTTTTTTCTGGGTAAACACGATTTACTATCTTTTTTCCACCTAGAATTGTTTAGCGATCTAAGTATATGCTGAAGTTATCTAAATATACATTAAAGCACCTTTAGAATTAACGTCTTTGAAGCAATGTTAAATGAATTATTTAATTTTCTATTTGTTAATGTAAAATATTCAATGAAATAAATTGGATTATTCACGCAAGAATTTCTAGGAGCTTAATAAGCTTAGAATTATGTACGTTTTATTTTGTCCCCTTTACCACCCACACGATTAAATGTTATATATGTAATCTTTATTCCTCGTTTTATATTAAAATGTTTTTTCTACATAAATAATATCGTGTACAATTAATTCATCATAAAGCTTCCGAATCTCCCATGATTTATTATATTTACGGTATCAAAATCTTAAAAGCCATAAACAATGCTTAAGTTAATAGTATTAAACTAATGAAGGAATATAAACTATGTCTCAATTATGTGACTATCCAATGTTGATTTCTGATTGAAAATCTAAGAAATAATTTTATTATTTTTATCCTTACGGAGAAATAATCATCAAGGTTTTCATTGTTTGAAGCAAATTTCAAAAATATATTTTTAAGCTTAGACGCGAAGCGAGTAATTTGGGACCATACGATAACAAACACCTATTAATATAATAGGCAAATATTTTCGTTTGGATTAATGTATGTTTGTTGATAATAGTATAAATATATGTATGTATATATAAGATTTTGATTACGAAGGACAACATTCAAGGATATTCATCTTCACCCCTTTCGGGAAAACAAACAGGGTGTAGGAATTTTGTTATTAGCGTTACAGAGAGAGAGTAGATAGTAACAATCCCCGTCTCACACCTGACTGATTGATAGCACTTCTTTGCACCACGGGTCGAGCTTGTAATCGAGCCATTAATAAAGTTTACCACCCTCAAGTTTAAGCAAGTATTCATTATACTTAATAGACTAGCAATAGCTACTATAAAACGAGATATTAATTTTATTTAATAGGTAATTGTTTTAATTTTAAACTGTTTAATTTTGTATTTTTCTCGCTTAGCTCGCCGAGTGAAGCGGGTTCAAATCCCGGGTGTTGCAACTCTGATATTTTCATGTGCGAATCATTTCTAACATGATTACCACTAGCCTTACGGTGAAGGTAAACATCGTGAGGAAACCTGCATGTCTGAGAGAACCTAGCAACTTTTCCGCCAACCCGCACTTGGCCAGCGTGGTGGACTATGGCCTGATTCCCCTCGTATTGAAGGGAGGCCCGTGCCCAGCAGTGGGACATTAAAAAGGGCTGAATATAATACATGTGCTTGATAAGTAGGTAATATTTTTATGAAAAATTCAGTTAAATTCTTAACTATACGCCGAATAGTCGTAGAGTGACTTCATTTTTCAACAATTTAGGAAATAAGCTTAGAAATAATTTTATTTGTTTTCCAAATTATCTGACAGTAGGTCGAGCTAATGTCACCCGACGCTTGACAAAGCGACTGTTGGCACGGAGAGGCTTTGCGAGCTTCTACGTAAACAAAGAGGGCAAAAAGGCTAGCAAAAAATGATAAAAGTTTTACTTTACTCGACTTTATATTCTAATCGACTAAATAATTACTTAGTCTGATGCTTTACAAAAAAAGTTCTTTTTTTTGTTTATAACCTTCATCAGTTTTGTTGGTATAATAAAGTTATATATATATATATATATATATATATATATATATATATATATATAAGAATAATTCTATGGTTGATTATTCCATAAAACAAATTGTCATATTGACAAATATTATCATAGTGTAACGGCGCCGTCGTTCATATCAGCAATTTTTTTAATTACCGTTACAAAAATGAAAAATTATACCTACTGAAATATCGATCTTAAATTACCGAATCGCATTAGAAAATTCAAGATCGATAATTCACTGTAATTTTTGTTACGGTTAAATTTACGGCGACATAAATATTCAAACACGAAGTACAAAAGAAATGATAACCTGACTGATTCTTTACACGCGGCATAATTAAAAGTTGACATTGAACACAGTGGCGCCAGGTACGAGTCTCGCCTGCTATTTTTGACCCCGCGGAATATCGGGCTGGCGATCGGCCTTGCACAAGTTACCATAGTTCTAATCCCGTAAAACTTGCCGCAACATTGCAATTTGCACATAAAATATAAGAAAAAGTTATTGCTACTACTCATTAGGTGTAGGTCATTTTCTTGTTACTGGAGAACTAGACTGTAGGCGATCACGCAAGCGTACGATTTTTTTGTTATATTTGTCGCTTCTTTCGCCCTCTGCTTCATTTAATATTCTTTTAAGTTATAAAATAAGCTTTAGGTACTATTAAAAATGTTCCTTTTAAATCGGACTAGCTTATATTACACACATAAAAATTAAACTTAAAAAAAACTGTAAGAATAAAATATGGCACGTTATTTTTATATGTATTAAAGACTTAACCTCTTGCTTCACTCGGGTGCATCGCAGTGTCTAACAGTAGTATAGGATAAAATATAGCCTGGATATAGAGCAATTAATAAAAAAAATATACTTGTCTTTGAAATACTCTACATATTGTTTGATTAAAGCTAATTTCTACTATAATTAATATCTATATTTTTTTTTGATGTGTCATCATTTTGGTAATGTCTATTTTTTAAATAATATTTGGTACTTTTTGTCAATAGCTTCAATAAGTATATTTTGTATTTATACGCATACTAGCAGTTCCTGCGGCGTCGCTCGCGTTAAAACTACAAAAAAAATCTTTAGCTTTATGTTTGTCTGTTTATTTAAACGCGCTAAATAAACTCAAGAACTACTAATCCGATTTGAAAAATTCTTTTTGCACTAGCTAGCCCGTTTATCGAGGAAAGCTATAATAGGTTATATATTGCCATGTTACTACACAAGGGAGCGGAGCAGTAATCATAAATGTCCACCATACATTATTGTAAAATTGATGTTTATAATATGTTTAAGTGCTTTAAACCTCAGAAATATATAGTTTTACAATAACATATGGAAGTCTGCTCTACTTGCTGACATTTATGATTAGGTACTGCTCCGCTCCTTCGGGTAGTAGCATGATGATATTGTCTATTATCATATTGCCTATATAGCCTATAGCCTTCCTCAATAAAAGGACTATTTAATGCAAAGATAATTTTTCAAAATTGTTCCGTATTTCCTTAGATTAGCGCGTTCAAACATACAAACAAACAAACAAACAAACAAACAAACAAACAAACAAACAAACAAACAAACTCTATAATATTAAATAATATAAGGTACTTATTGCCACAAGCTTCGATAAGTATAATATTTTCTATTTATACGCATATAGTGGTGATGTAATATTTGAACCTTCAGGATTACGCTCAGGAATCTAAATTATTTGTCCGAAGACCAGCATGGTCGCGGTCGAGTACCATTCGAATTGGGTCAACGACAACACAAAAGGTGTGGCGTCAGATAAGCGCCGTATCCCGTCAACCAGCTGCTGTCCGAGTCTAATGAAACAATGTCCCAATGAAATAGCCCATTTTATTTTTATACCTACAATTATATAAAAGCTATGATTTTTTAATTCAAAGTCAACTTACGTAATCATACAACTTTGTTTATCATACATGCTATATTTGCATTCGCAACAATTTGATATCGCGTTCCCTGTATTATTGCTATTTTGCCTTCTCGATTAGGGTCGCATTTAAGCTACATATTTATTAGAGCGTAGGACTCGCGACACGACTTTCATTTTATACGGATAAAACATGGTGACGTTATAATATAACGTAAAAAGTGTAAACATATCCCTTTAAATGGATTTAATGAAATTATTTTAAAGAATTGTTATTGTATTGTAAATAATTTTATTGATAACTAGCATTGCCCGCGGCTCTGCCCGCGTTCAGATGACCAAAAACCAAATTCTTAGGCTTTACATACATACTCGTATTAGTATACTCTTACATTGCAGATTTTGTATTTTTTTTCTTCAGAAATGAGACATTTCCCCGCGGTAAAAAGTATCCTATATGTTGACCCGGATAACCAGCTATCATCATAAAAAATTTCATCAAAATCCCTCCAGTGATTTTTCTGTGATGCGGTAACAGACAGACAGACAGACAAAATTTCTAAAAACTATAGATTCGGACCCTGTATCGATAATGTCTATTTCAATTACATTTTTTAAAAGATATTTAATGTACAGATTCGACTTTGTTACAATTTTATTATATGTATAGATAATAACATTAATTACATAATACACGTAGCATATTAGGTTTGTGCTATATGTTAAAGTGTATCCAAAAAATGTATAGTAACTTAATAGTAGGTACCTACCATGATTATTTCGTTTAGAGCTGCGGAAGGACATGTCACTCGAGGGTCTCTGCCGTCAGTCTGCTTTCAGTGAAATGCAGCGCGCTTCCGACCTGCCCTCTGACACAGACAATATTTCTCATATCTAGCTTTATGGTTTGAGCACTAGGTACATGCTTTATTTTTTACTACTTTACTTCGTTCGGGTGCGTCCCTAGGTAGGTTTTAAATAGATAAAATAGTTATTACAAGTGTACCTTAGGAGATATAGACATTTGCTATTGCGAACTCTTTTGTAGGCCTTTTTAAGATCTACAACTTTCTAGTTCATTGTGTTTATGTATCTTTTAAAGTACCAGCGTTAGCCATGTAAATTTCTAAGTAGGTACCTACGACTCGACGGTTACTGTGTTTTCTCGTGGGAATAAAAGACTTTTCTGTAGTATAAGGTATCCTGAATGTTAACCTAAGTAATAAATTAAAATTTAATCAAAATCGTTTCAGTACTATTTCCGTAAATTGAACACAGATATACAGTCAAACAGATGCAATGCGAAAGAAAACCGTGTGAAAACTTCAATACACGCGTTTTCCCAGACATAAGATTAATCTAGATTGATTTTTCACCCCCGAAATCCCTACGTACAAAATTACAGCGAAATCGTTAGAGCCGTTTCCGAGATAGCCGGTATAAATAAATAAATAAACAAGAATTGCTCGTTTAAAGGTATTAGATAAAAAGTTAAATTCTCTTGTAAACTTGTACGTTATGGTGATTTAACTTGTTTTGTTTATTATATACTTAATTTTTTTAGGTTATATTATAATCGCATTACAAAAAATCGTTTACTAAAAAGTAAAAACCTATTTTTTTAAATTCGTTAAGTTGATATTTTTCATTTAAACTTTTCTACAGTAGCGCCTAAAACAATGAAAAAATGGAACTAAATATTTACAGATTAATAATTAATAGGGTTAAATGGGTATTACGAACCAAAAACAATATTTTACATAAAAAGTTTACCTGGTTTACGGAGAGCTTAAATGCGAACGTGTCTGTTTTATTTCCAATATATTTTTATGTATTCCATAAAGGGTTTTATTTACTTTTATTATTTCAGCGATTAAACGGGAGTAGAAAGGAGTCCACGGATGATTAAACAAAGATTATTTTAAAAAATAAATCGTGTATATGTATATTTTTTCTTAATTTGGTATGCACAACAATTAATCTACGCATAAAGATATTTATGTCTGGACACTACGGATTATTTTAATTACATAGGTGTTTATCAAGGTTTTTTTTAGTTTGGTAACTATACGTAACTAACCGGAGTAGTTTATCACTTGCGAAGCAGGTCGCCTGGCACACGGCGCAGCTCGGTGACTTGCGCCGAGACTTAATGGGTCTCATCACGCGACTTCGACACGGCATTTGACAAATTTCAAACTAAGTGCAGAACGCAGATTGCCGATCGAAGGTATTTACATTACTGAGCCTAGACTGTGGATTAATTGAGTGATTTTTATTATTACTTTAATCATATCTATAGTATTCAACGATAAATCTTATATAGGTCATGCTATTGTTTCAGTAAAGCGAGATTACTTTGCTACGCTTAAGACTGTTTAATTAAAAGTAAAAACAACTATAAGTCATAGAGAATCACTTAAAAACGTACATAACAACAGCTCTCTTATGATATCTTTCGTGTGTAATAAAAAAAATATTTACAAAAATATAAAACCCGACTGCATGAAGAGGGAACTAAAAAGATAAGAACAAGTTGACGAAGGAATATAGTATAAGGCAGTCGGAGACACACGCAGCTATTATAAAACATGTATATATTATGTACCTACTACCTATGTACGATTGCAAAATACTATGTTCCTTAGTCAACTAGTTTTCATCTTTTCGATTTTTACGCAGTCGGGTTTTTATTTTTGTAAATATTTTTTTATTTTTGTTTTTTAGCATTTCACATTCCAAATTACATTTAAACATATAAGTTGTGTATATTTCTGTAAGCCATTTATAAAACCCTTTATTTTGATACCCCACTCGATAGGTTTTGTCGGAATTTTTTTAAGATATACTCGTAATATGGCACCAAAAATCGGCCATTTTAATTTTTATAATTTTGATATACCCAGTGTCACTCACAATTAAGACGAATCTAACGACACTTCTCAAGCTTACATACATACATACATTCGAAAAACATGACCCTTCTTCTGGTTCCACCCGGTAAAATCCAGTAGATACAAGAATAATTTAATGATTCTAAATTTTATAAAGTATAAACTTGTAATTCGGTAAATCTATCAATACAAATTTAATGATGCATTACCATATTTTTTATTATGCCTAGTTTCCATGTTTGAAAAGCATTCCCAACGTACGTGGTATATTTGAGCGAATTGTTTTATGTTTGCCATTTTGACTTTTATTTTATTTTTCGTTTATTTTCCCTTGTGCGGCCATAAAACGTACCTGGGCTCGCTCGCGGGGATAACGGAGTGGGCTTACGAAAAATTTATTATTGAGACCTTTTTCGCCCGGGCTCCATCGACAGACATTGCGAAGGCGAAAGTTATGAATGACACATGTTTTGAAATATTACCTGCAGTGTAAACTGCTTCCCGAGGAGAAAATTTCATAGAATGAGAAGTTTATTTGTCGTGAAATATGTGGGAGTTTTATGAGAACGAGACTTTTACATTGCTACGGATCAAGCAATTTCGCAGTGTTCGGTCTGTATTGCGTAGTAATATAGTAATAAGATAGCGAATAAAATGTAAGGTGCGACAAATTGGATGACGAACTGTATTATTGGATCTTAAGGGTCTCGGTTGTACCACTGCCATGTTGTAACATTTTTATATATTTTCGAAGTGAAAATTTCTATAGGCAGGTTTGGATGGGGAGTAGATTCATGTAGGTCGTCATGGACATGGTCACGTGACGTGTTAACGCTAACACTCAGAGTGCCGATAGATGTCAAAACCAGATAGATGAATGTAAGCAGTTTTAATTTACAAATTTTAATTTAAGATTAGACAATTAATTTGTAAAATAAACAAATAATTGAATATCCCAAAAAAACACTATTTCTTTATAGTTTTAAGTTTTTACTTCTGTCCAGTCCTCATGACTGTTTTTTATGTGTATGTTAGCGTACCTACTTATATGTGGACAACATTACTTAATTCGTTTTTTTAAGTAAGCACATTAATAGAGTAGATAAAGCTCTAATTGCTTTTACCGCTAAAAAATCGTTATTAAAAAAATAAGTTGTACTAATGTCTTATTCTTTAGCTTATTTATCAAGAATCTTTAGAACATGAGTTCACTTGTACTTTGAATAATAATTATTTATTCGCAGTACAAGTGAACTCATGTTTCCCAAGATTAATATTGGCAAAAACTTAACTTTGACACAATAACTTAAAAATATGAAATTAAAATGTGATAGCATTAAAAACTCTGTCTTTTGTTTATCTTGAAAATCTGAATAACAATTTGCCCTAAATGTCATTCTGCCTGAGGGTCAAACATAAACAACTTAGTCATCGCCCGAGCCGCGATATGTTTTCCGGCGAAATTAACGCCAACTTGCTTCGTCCCCGACCTCTGTTTTATTCAAACGCTCGGGAATCCGACACAATGAAAAAATGTTATGTGGGGTGTTGTAAGTTTTTTTGCCAATTATGAAAATTCGTGGACAGCGCACCACATGCTATATATGACTTTGTCGTATCAAGTTTGTTATTCTCTAGTGGCTACCATTTCGCATCTTTTTTATAAGAATTATTTTTGCCTTTTCAGTTGAAGATTATTGTATTTAAAAGGTGTTCTAAACTGTTTAACCATTTTTAATTCAGTGTTTAAGGGCAACATTCTTTTTTAGAATAACTTTTTAATTTTAGTACATGTAACTAGCTTTGCCCGCGGCTCCGCCCGCGTTCAGATGACCAAAAAGCAAATTCTTAGGTTTTACATATTACTTTACTCTTACATTGCAGTTTTTGTAGTTTTTCTAAGTGAGATATTTTCTCGCGGTATAAAATATCTTATATGTTGACCCGGATAACCAGCTGTCACCATACCAAATTTAATTAAAATCCCCCCAGTGATTTTTCCGTGATGCGGTAACAGACAGACAGACAAAAGTTCTAAAAACTATTGATTCGGCCTCTGTATCGAAAATAATGTCTATTTTAATAAGATTTTCCAAAAACTATTTAATGTAAAGATTCAGCTTTGTTAGAATTTTATTATATGTATAGATTGTAAGGATGATTTTAAGAATAGGTTGACTTTTTGGATTTTTGGGAAGGGTTAATGGAGATACCTCGGTACATTACTTACTACACCAGGCACCTATACATTTCACGACTTTATAAAATCATTGAAAATCTCCATAACCTTTTGAAGAGCTATCATTAGGTTACTCTCAAGTATGGATTTCCTCACCATTTTTTTTCGTCGAATCGATATATTATGTCTTGCGAGTAGAAAAGTTGTTACATAAAGACATAATAGTATGTATATATTTATTTAAGTATTTATATTTGGGTGACTGCACTTTAGCCTGCTTTTTAATACTATCTCTCCAACTCACTTAGGTTGACTGGAAGAGATCTCTTCTAGAGATAAGTCCACCTTTGCCAACTAATTTTATTGTTTGTTAATCTCTGTATTTTACATATAAATGCAATAAAGAATAATATATGTTTATGACATTTTGGACCCTAACTCGATAACGACAATGTAGTTTTCACTTTCCTCGACGTTTTATGTAAACATTTTAAAAGTACAAAATTCTATAAATGGATGGCATAATTATAGAGTGGACAATCGGCGTATTCCCGGCGCCATCGCACTGAGTCACTGTCGATCGACGCGCGGTTCGCGGAATTCGCTAACCCTCTACACAACAGAGGGGTTGCGTTCGCTAATGACTGTCGGACAGCGACGTCGTGCTGCCTAGCGCACCGGCTGAATGCAATCACCGCATCGTGCGAAATTACACCCTCAAAACGATTACATTTAAACTCTTAATACTTCAGTCCCTAGCACCATTTTGCAATTCAGTGCGTGTTTATATGCAGCCTTTCAATCGGCACTGTTATTTTGATAAATATGCATGAACTAGCGAAACCGGCTGCGCGGGTAACATAAAACGCCATCGTGAAAATTTAATGTCATTTCCTGGTGGTCCCCGTAATGAGTCATATCCGTCGAAGGGTTAATTTTTTTGCGATATCGTAACCTAAAATCTTCAATATACTATTTTTATAGCGTGCTGCAATTTTAAATTATATAGTCAATATGGAAACTAAATTGCACGACAATAGCTGCAAGGGACCTATTGGCGTATACCCATGTCGACAAACACATGTAAAGAAAATTTATCCAAGCACAATTAATTATTAAGTAGTTGCGAATAATTAAAATATTTGCCGCGAAATATCTTGATCGAGCCTGCTACTTTGTTATGTATCGAAAACCTATGATTATCATTAGATTGTTTTCCCATAGATGTTCTTTATGTTTTATTATCATATAACCTCGGGCTATGATGTGTATTGTGTAATGATATATTACTATGTTTTTTCTAAGTGAATTCCGCATTGAAATATGACACGTAATTTTCATATAACTAGTATTATCTTTACATATAATAAGACTTAGCATTATACAATGATCTACCAAATAATAATTTTCATACTTGTAAGATTATACTTTGTTCGCACTTTGACCTTCCTCTATAAAGCCACTCGATGAAATCGAATAAACGGACATTTTAGGTGCATTCACTTTGCAAGCTGCCTTGGCCGACACAAGGTAATTTAGTGATATTATAACGTTCTATCCGCCAATGACGCCTTCGAAAGTACCTGGTTCTTATTCAAGCAAATCCGGTTTAAGGCAAGTGCTAAATGTATGTAATTATATCCATATATTTTTTATGCAAAGGTTTAAATAAAATAATTATAATTTTATATTTTTTTTATATAATTATTTATAATAATTATTATTTATTTATATTATACAACTCAATTAACTATTGTCTTTTTTATTAGTAATTTAACAACATACTATCCAAAGGCAGCTTAACTGTAGAATTAGAAATATTTTAATTTTAATCACCTATATGTATGTATATCATTTACGTTCAAAATACTAATCATAAAATTGAATTATACTTACACTATGAACGGGTAAAAATGTTGGAGCCCTATTTCTGTGACCTATTTTACTGAGAGGTTAGTGAAACATAATAAAATCATAGATATGGAACATTTAAGATTACTATTACTAACTGCATTTTGCCGTAACAGCATTAGATATTACTATGTTGAGTAATGTCTTACTGAGAAGAAAAACTGTTCCATTTAACTAACGGTATTGCAAAATCTTGTAAA